TACACCCCCTGGTAAGTCGTAGCATCAGTCTTCAGTAGCTTCACCCACTTGAAAAACCATGGCACTAGTGCCAGTAGGATCCAGATATTTTTATCTATATTCTACTTCACCAGCATAACAAAGCTGAAGCACTAACTTTGATCTTAATGTGTCTGGAAAAGTCTTCTCAATTTATAAGTTTCAATCAAGGTTTTACAATATTTCTTATTTTCATTAAAAAAAAAGTTAACATGGCATTTAAGCAATTTTTGCCTTTCTTTTTTAGTTAATTCAAATGAAAATCTACTTATTTTTTTTTCTGCTCTACAGCTTTCTGTAATAAAAACTCATATTGATAAAGGGAGACACATCACGTAAGTTCTACAAGTATTCACTTTTCTTTCATAGATATCTTTATGTTAGGCGTATAGGTGTAAGAGGAGAACAATTTCCTAACACTGATATTTGTGACATGGAAGGTTTGCATTGCCATAGTGTGTAACGCAACTTTTTTTCCCCCCAGGAATAAGAAACGAGACATGTAACAATAATTTCTCACTAGCAACAACAGCTGAGATGCAGTAAAGACCAATCAGCCACAAAATTATTGCTTTAAACTTGCACCTGCATTTTTGGGGTGTTCTAGGGCTTTTTTAACTTAAACAGAGAGATGCTAGGAGGTCATGATAAGGTAAGGCATACTGATGATACAGAGATCCTAAATGCAGAGTGGGGCTATGCAATTGTCACTTCTGGGACAGGTGAATAAGATTTAAAGGAATGTATGCTTTCGGAAGAGAATTTTTTGCACATCATAGCAATGTAACACTTTTTTTAAACTGATGATTACAGCATGGAAAGTTCTTTATCCTACTAACTTGAATCTTTTCTAGTTTGAAATAAGTTTCCAATAGCTAATCATTAAACTAGAGGTATAAAAACCTCATGAACACTCCACTGCTCTAACTCCTTCCACTGTTTGAGAGAAACAGATTCAAAAAGTAACGACAGCTCTGAAAGGGGAAAAAGGTGGCATCTGTACCTGGTCCATTGCTTACCAGGAAAGAAGACCTTGACAAGCCTGCTTCTGATCAAACTTTAAGGAAATAAAAGGCAGAGTGGACATAGGCTGTTTTCATGATATCCAACTTTGAAATCCTGATTTTCTTCACTTTACCAAGAAACAGTATCTGTTTGAGGATCCTGAAGCAATAACATAAACTAGTCCTCTCCCAGAGCTGTTCCCAGTCCTCCAAGCATCCTAGCAGAAGTATGAAAGCCATCATTGTGAGGATTGTCTCTGGAATCCTGAAAGGGATTAGTCCGGGAGAGATTGGACCTCCTCTACTCAGCACTCAGGAGGCCACCACTGGGGTACTGTGCCTGATTTGGGGTACTCAGTATGAAAGGAATGGAGCAAGTCCACTGGAAGGTCACTAAATAATTAGGGGGCTGGGGCACAAAGCATCCAAAGAGACAGCAAAGACATTCTTGGTGTTTCACCTGGAGAAGAGAAGGGTAAAGGGAAATCTAGCAGCATTCTTCCGCTACCTGATCAGGGCTTACAGAGACTGAGCTCAACTCTTCTCAGAAATGCACAGCAAAAGGACAAGGGGCAATGTACACCAATCACAACAACAACGAAAAAAAATCCCTGTGAATGTCATTGAACATGGCAACATAGGCTAGAGAGGCAGTGAAATCCTCTGCCTCAGGCAGATTTGATATAACTTTAAGGTTTGTCCTGTTTCAGAGATGGGGACTAGATGATCTCTCAAGGTCATAGAACCGTGGAATATCTCAAGTTGGAAGTGACCCATATGGATCATTGAGTGCAACTCCCTGCTCCTTGCAGCACTACCTAAAATAAACCGTATGACTGAGAACGTCATCCAGATACTCCTTGAACTCTGACAGGCTTGGTGCTGTGGCCACTTTCCACTGGAAAACTGCCCAGCAGAGAAGGACCTGAGGGTACTGGTTGACAGCTGGCTGAACATGAGCCAGCAGTGTGCCCAGGTGGCCAAGAAGGCCAACAGCATCCTGGCTTGTATCAGAAATAATGTGGCCAGCAGGAGTAGGGAGGTGATCGTGCCCTTGTACTCAGCACTGCTGAGGCCGCACCTCAAGTACTGTGTGCAGTTTTGGGCGCATCACTACATGAAAGACATTGAGGTGCTGGAGCATGTCCAGAGAAGGGCAACAAAGCTGGTGAGGGGTCTGGAGAACAGGTCTTATGAGGAGCACTTGAAGGGACTGGAGTTGTTTAGCCTGGAAAAAAGAAGGCTGAGGGGAGACCTTATGGCTCTCTACAACTACCTGAAGGAGGTTGTAGTGAGGTGGGAGTCGGTCTCTTCTCCCAAGTAACAAGCAATAGGACAAGAGGAAATGGCCTCACATTGTGGCAGGGGAGTTTTAGATTAGACATTAAGAAAAATTTCTTTACTGAAAGGGTTGTCAAACATTGGAACAGGCTGCCTAGGGAAGTGGTGGAGTCACCATCCCTGGGGGGGTTCAAAAATGTGTTGATGTGGCACTTTTGGACATGGTTTAGTGGGCGTGGTGGTGTTGGGTTGACGGTTGGACTTGATGATCTTAGAAGTCTCTTCCAACCTAATGATTTCTATGATTCTGTGATTCCCTGGGGAGCCTGTTCCAGTGACCAACCACCCTCTCAGTGAAGAACCTTTTCCTAATTTCCTCCAACAAATAGTCCTTTCTAACCTCAGGAGAAGTATGATCCCACAAAAACCCCAGTGCTATGAATACATTGATAGGATCCACCATGCAAAGGCAGGATAAAAACAGATGTCTAGGACAAAGAAGAAACTACACACGAGGGCACTTGCTACATAGGGATGACTTTCTTGTATCTACACTCTCAAGGGAACTCTGAATACGAAGGTGATCGGGACAAGAGAAATCAATGTGTATCTGATGTACAGTGCCTTTTCAAACATGTTGTATCAGCAAAATAGCTATTTTGAAAACCCTCAAATTTTCCACTCCAGTGGGAGAAAATCTGTATCCACACACCTTCTCCAGTTCTTCTACGTGTATGCTATTCTGAAGGAATACACTCTTTGAATTAAAAAGAACCAAAAGTATTTTACTCAGAAGTTTGTGACATCATTTTATTGTATTTTGTAGCATTCTTTCCATGACATGCCTAATACAATATTTGTAACCACTACTAAAAGGATTGTATAAGGGCATTCACTGCACTTACAGCCAAATTTGATAACCAGTAAGCAAACAGGCAGCTACAGTTCTTCTTGTCTTTTTTTTTTTTTTTTTTTTAAGTGAGCATTTAATGTCCAAAATAGCAGCCCAGGATCAGAATAATCTTACTGTCCTTAACATTTTTATGTTCCAGGTAAATATGAACATATCAAAAATGAAAGATGGTGAAAACCTCATGGTTAAGTGGAAGTCCACAAGCAGTTTCATGGAACATTCATATGTGCCTAACTACTGCACATTTTTGTAGCAACACTTGTCCTAGCTAAATATGGATATATTTGTGCTTATAGATGTTTTATTTCCCTAGTTTATTTGTAAAGCATATAGCCCATGGAACTAAAATGGATATTTGTGGAATTTTTCTAAAGTATATGTCAAAAAGAGTTTTGTAGGAGTCTGGGGCCTGGTTTACCTTTCCTCACTTTGTGTATATCATATACAAGTTTTAGTCCTAAGATAGGAACAACTTCTCTAAGTGACAGCATAAACAACAGCCATTTTAGTGTGGGCTTTTCCCAGCAGATATTCAAAAGTCTCCTCGAATGCAAGCCCAATAATGCTAGAACACCAAATTACACGTCCTGAGCCATTTTAACTTCCTACACAGAAAATCCTCTCCACCCCTCCCCCCAAAAAAACCCACCAGATGCAGATTAAATTTGCTAAACTTCTACAAATAACGGGCAATATAGGGACATTGGTGTTTGCTATAGTTTCGAACGACTGCACTCATATAGCTTTTTCTTTTGTTTCTCCTCTATTCAGGTATTTGTTTTGCTGTATCTGGCTGGATCAGGACTAACAGAAATAAAACACTGTGCATTATATTTGAAAAAAGCCACACATACAATCTTAGATACCAAAAACTTTCCATATAATTTCTCTCCTGACACTCAAACCATCTATTATCATTGTGCCTCATCTTAAAAAAAATTACACTTCCTTTTCTGGGACAAAATACACCAGGGCTGAGATGGGAGTACAGAATAGCAGAAAGGATTCGTCATTTACTAGTCTGACAAGTATACTTCAGAGCTGACACTCCATTGTGAGGGTCAGTACAAGGTAGTTTAGCCATTGGAATGTGCTTTACAAATGAGAAAAAAAATCCAGTTTGTAACTATTGAGAAATATGAGAAGATACTTATAGTAAAAAGTAAACATTTACTGGATTATTTTAAAGTATATTACTAGAACCAACAAGACATAACTTTAAACATGTATAAAGTATTATACATAAAAATGCATAGATGTACAGTAAATATGTTCATTTATAAGTAGGCAGAGTAATATGTACACATAGTCTGTTGTGCTTCTGTAAGTCTAAGCAGTAATTCCTGCAGTATATTGTCTTAAAGCAGTTTTATTACATAACTGTTTCAATGTAGCAGGTGCTGAGAACAATGTACATTAACACTAAGTAGGTCAGTCATATCCATTTACTCTTGAAATGTACAAATATAGGAAACAAAGGCCGTAAATGCAATAGTACCTACACCTCCAAGACTTCCTTTTTTTTTTATTATTTAAATATGCACAAGTCCACCTAATGGTCATACAGAGGTTTCTTTCTTGCTTCCCTCCCATGTCAACATGTTGACCAGGCACTCAGGACAAAATCTTTGATGCACTTCAGCACCACTTCCACTGATTCAACTCAGTGTGCTCCTGACCTTGAAGTCTTCAGGTCAAAAATTAGAGGAAAAAATAAAATTAAAAGTATATAAATAAAACAAACAAGCTTGTGGGTTTTTTTTTCACAAGTTATTTGTCACCAATACTGTCAAAGCAGCTGAATCGTAGTGCATCCATGGGCAGGAGCATATAGCAGCTTTTGTGCACTTCGCAAAAAAATATATTAAAGAAAATCAAGTCTTTACTGGCTTGTTTTATCTGTTGCTAAAAAGATGCTGTGCTGCTTCTGAGCCCTTTCCATCAAATTCTTTTTCTTCTTTTTCTTGTCCTTTGTTTTTGTTGGCCTTCTCCCTAAAAAAATTAAAAAAAAAAAAGGAAAAATCAAATAAATCAAATAATATCAATAACTTAACTAAGTAAAGAATCCAGAAGTGATATTAGCCTGTAGTTGAAAAACTCAGTGGCACAGAAATTATCAACGGGGACTGTAAAGGTAATCCTGGCTGATGAGCTTTGATCATCAGTGAAAACAGAAGTTTTCAATGTGATGTAAGAGGAACAGGATCCCCGACTGTCATCACTTCTCCACAGGCACAATTTCACTGGTATGAGTAACCATGTTGATGTAGGTCTCACTTTTGGCAGGGTAACTCACGCAAGCAACATTATGCAAGTGCCTGGGGCACAGAGCCAAATGAATACGTAGACTCCTAACTCACTGAAAGCTGGATACGTGCCTTAGGACCTTGCATAAATTTGCTTGAGTGAGTAATCCTGTTTAAGTCAAGTCCAATATATCCACGGTTTCAATGAGAAATTAGGCATTTCAGCCCAAGTATTTGGTTGGATGTCGTCCTACATGCTTTGGCAGAAACAGGGCTGCTTCTGCAAAGAATTGTTGTTATTGTTATTAGTACACTGTGCCTAATTCTCACAGTGTATTACTGTGCAGAAACAAAAATTTCCTTATATGCTTCTTACTACTGGAAGTTAACCAAAATCAAGGAATCAGGATCAATGCAGGAAAAAAATTCTCAGACTCCTAGGATGGGAAAGTTTTTTCCAGTCCAGCTCTGATAATAAAGCAGTGCCCTTTGATTATCTCAGCAAAGATACCATGGACTGAAAAAATGCAAGATATAAAGGCCCTCACTGCATTACCTTTTGAGTATATGCTTAAATCCTATCAAATCTAGTAGAATTTAAGGAGACAACCGAATGCTATCTGGAGTGAGAATGGTCTGAGCTTTCTTGGCAGTAGCATATACTGAAATATGTGATTAATGATGAAAAAATAAGGTTATTAATCTCCAGATGTGCAAACTTTGTAAACTTGCAGGAGAACTAAACAAAATTAAGAAGACATTAAAAGGAAATTGAAGTAGCACATGACACAAAAATGTGAAATGAAAATGCATTTTTCATCTACATTGTCAGTACAACATTAATTGGGAGAAAAGTTTGGCAGTCTGTCTTTGTCTTACTTCCATGATGTTTCTTAATTGAAAAGGCCCATACCAGTATGAAGCGTTTTTCTCTATTTGATAATAACACTGAATAAATCTGATTCAAATAACTCTGATTCTAAAACTATCAAAATTTATAATTCATTTAAAATACAGGGTTATACACTTCAGACTACACATTTGTAATATGCTGTCTAGGCTACTATTCTCTAGGAATTATTGAAATATTTGTATATAAAATAGGACAGGACATTAAGGTAATGAGCACATGAGTTTAGTCCATATTAAAATCATAAGGGTCCTTGGAGTTTACTTCTGCTTTTCATTACAGTCTGGCATTAATGCTATTATGGCATTTTGCCATTTTTGAATCTAGTTAATCCTACACAGTAAAACCTCAGTCCAACCAATCATTAATCAAAGCAGCTTTTAAGTTAAAACTCTTTAGTAACACTGTATCTAATGACTGGGCACACCTAATGAGGTCAGAGGGAAGGAATACTTGTCACAAAGTGGCATTACAACAAGGTGGTTTGAATTAGAGAAATTTCCGTATCAAAATTTTATTACATGATTCTACTAGTTGGTCTATTGTAAGGCATCAGAACTGGGATGAATATATAGATCAACACCATATTCTAATTGCACTTTAAATATTCTGATTTTTTTAACCCAAATCTTTGAAATACTTATTAAGGAAAGAGTAAATGAAGGAAACCATGTGAACTGAGTGACCAATGCTGCTGGTCAGTTGATTCTCAGAAGACCAGCAGAATCAATTAGAGCTTTATTGAAGTTTTGCTATCCTGTTTGCTCAGTGATCTTATTTTCTGAGGTTTTTCACTGTACAGATCAATTAGTAAAAGAAACTCCAGTCAGTGCCTCATCTAGTTTTCTCTATGACCTCCTCCACAGAACTAGAGCAAATGCTTACCGTAAGTTTAAGGTAGTGAAAAATCCTATATTTTTCCTCTGAAAACTTCGAGATGCACAGACAAAATGACACACAACCCACTTGGTATCTTTGTCTAAGCCTCACAAAGTAGCTGCTGTAACACAAGAATCAAATCAAATTGCCAGTGCACTCCCCGTACAATACCCTTAACATAGAAATGAACTGGACTAGATTTCAGTGTTTCGACATGTCATTGTGCAACAAACACATTATGGTGCTTCTGCTGCTCTGCAGCGATCACCCCTGTACCTGCTTTTGCCCCATGGCACACCAAAGGCAAATTACCTTCTTTTACATGTGCCACGGAGTAGCAACCCGTGCGGAGGCAGTACCACTGAGCCGTTGATACCTGAGAATTTGTTCTTCTGTTAGTGAGCTCTTTGGCTGCCCACTATATTTCCAAGTGCCCTGTTGTACAGAATGAGTTTCATTATTTTCAGGATAACGTTAAACCACACAGAGAAAATCCAGATGGCTGGTGGTGTTAAGTCCCAAATTCCAACTGCCATTTTAGCCAGAAAACTGAATATGAAAGGTATTTCTTGGCTAAACATTGTTTCCCATATCGTTACTAGAACACAACAGAGATCAGAGATTAGCAGGAAAAAAGTGACTATAAAGACTAGAGAGTTCAAACAAAGTATGCTGCTGAAGTCCCCATGTATAAGAACTTTTATTAAATTCAGATTTCAATTACAGTGCTTATTTTGTCAGCAGAAGCACAACTAACAGAACTAACTTCTGAATATCTTGCCGCAGATGTCTTTTGAAGAACATAATGTTTATGATTTGGAAAGCAGATCCTGAAAGAGGATCTGGGAGCCAAACTCTCCCAGTTCCCCCACTGGAGGGCAGTGGGGTGAGGACAGCTGACGGAGGAGGCACTCGCCCAAGGCTGGGATGGCAGTGGCTCCCTCCGCTCTGTGCCATGGGTCAGGTGTGGAGAACATTGTCCGCAGGGAGCCTTGCATGGCTTCCCCCACACCCCGCCATGCTCACTGCTCCTGAGAGCGAGAGCCCTGATCGCATGCCCCTCTCTCCATAGGAAGCAGCAGGGCTTTGCCACACTTGGCTTTGCTGGGGCAGTGGAAAAGCAGCGGTGCATTACAGTCCAGAACTTGCGGTTGCATACAGAAAGGAATTCCTGGCTGAAGCAAACGAGGAGGGAAAGCAAAAGGACTCTCTCTCTGGAGGTGTTCTACTGCTACCAATAACAGGTTGTAGTATTACTGCACAGGACGGAAAGAGACAATATCTGACATATTAAGTCTGATCCACAGAAGCAAGATTGGCAAAGCCTTTCATTCAAACGCTTTACTGCAATGTTATAAAATTCAGTTTTGCTGTTTGCTTTATAAATTATCAATGAGTAGGTCCGCATTTTCTAAGTAACTTATCCCAATGGTTGGTATCTTTCCAGTGTTATTCATTAAATTTTTGTTTGGACCACCTGCTTCTGGTACATAGATGGGCAACTAATACACTATGCAGTGAAACATTATTATTATCTAACAATGTACCACACCTTCTAATGGTATGATAACGTATAGGTAATGGTGCTATAACATACAGGTAATAATGCAATTCCAACATTAATTCCTGAAAAAACATTGTTTATGCTAATATACACAGCAATTATCCATACACCAGAGACTAACAGATATGAAAATAATTAAGTTGGCTCTTGCTGGATTATTTTTCTTCCTTTTTTGTTGGTTTTGTACTATTTTATCAGTGTTGCTCCTACAGTTGCTGCATGCTGGTATATTAGAGACTTGTGTTCAGGTCTCTGGTTTGTCTCACACCCTGAGCTGAAAGGTGTTCGGAAATACTGCATGTTCCCTCTGGATGGAGCCACCTGGTCAATTCAGGATACACATCACCTGTTTCAGAAGGAGCCTTCATCACCTTCGGTCAGCTGCACAGGCAGCTCTCTCCAGACAGAGTTTGGGCAGCAGATTCCTAACACTCGGAACACTCCCGGTTCTCCAGAACTAAAATGCAGCAAATGTATTCACAGGGACTCCAGCCACATTGCTCGAGATCCTTGGCTCAGATAGACAGCATCAGTTCCATATCTGAATTGTCCTTCATCAGCTGTATAAATACTGTTGTATGTACTGCTCTTCTAACAAAATCTGTCCATTGCTTGTTTCAGCAGATGGAGAAACACTGTATACATCCACACGAGGGCAGCAAGGATTTAAATTTAAAATATTTAATAAAAGAAAAAAAGAAAACAGCTATCTGCAGCTTTATTTCATAGTGTAATTCCCTCACAAATTTTCAGCGTTCTCACATACAAATTACTATTTTAGAGATATCAGAATGTTTAATACTTCTTTATTGAAAACATTTTTTCTCTTCTATTGATGCTTACAGAATAATGCGACTTACAGGTGTCTGCCTGTCTGCCTTCCCTGGATTTTCATATGCAGAACTTTCACTGCTAGCAGCAAAAGCACAATGGTGTCCTGCAATAACAGCAGACCTTGCTAAATACATCTTTTGATCTTTCATTCCCTTTCATTTGTCCTTTTAGGAGCTAAATGTTGCACACTTGGACGTCATTCTTCTACAGCTGCAGTTCTACCATAGACCCTGTGTGTGGCAGCATCTCACCCACACAGTAAGCTAGAAAAGTTATTACACTCAAGTCATATCACTGAAGGATGGCAGACACCAGGGAACTAATGACAGCAGTGGAAAGATGATGGAGACACTCGTTGATTAGATTGTCAGATCAATCCAAGAGAAAGACGGCAGATGCAAGCTTCTGGAGGAGCCCTCTCTGGCAGGACAACTTCTGTCCTGCACAGACCCGCAGACGCCTCATCATTTGCACCGCACAGCAAACTGCATATAAACAGTGATGGCAAAAATCCAATAACTAAGCAAACAAAGGATTCAGTCCAGCAATTATTCCCCAG